AAAAAAAAAAAAAAGAAAAAAAAAAGAAACACAAGAGAACATACACAACGTGACGATTTTTACTGTTGTAATCATACGAGATCTTTGTTCAGCGGAACAACATGTATTTTTTTAAAGTTTCAACGAATGTAAAACCGCCGTTTTACCGACGGTCGTTTTAATAAGACGGATTTGAAATTAGGAATATGCGATTACAAATTGCATCTGGCGCATCGAAATCCAACAACCATTGCATTCATCTACTCGCAATTACGATTCTCGTACAACGTCAGAAACAACGAAATCATGATTTTACTTAACTGTGGCTTTCACGAGAAAGCAGAATGAAAAGAGGAAAAAAAAAGAGAGAAAAAATAAGGAAGCAAATATTGTAATGATAAACCAAGTAAAAGAAGATCAAAGTATTCATCAAAAGAAAAAAAAAAAAAAAGAAAATTGTTTTTGGTTACGTACATACGTATACATCGTTTAATGATGGATCGATAGCGATCGAACGGTTCGATCGATGATTCTAAAAATAATAATAATTATTCAAAACTATGTGCGAACAAATAAAAAAAAATCGAGTCGCATTTAAAAACGAACATGTGTGGTAGCACAGCATCGTAGAAAAACGCGCACTGTTGCTTTCCGTGTTCATAAGAAGAGGTGAGGAAAAAATGACTGGTAGGTGCAAGGGAGTCAAGTTCGTGGAAAGAGCATTACGCGCAATTTCAGCAGACGATCTCGAGTTTATCCAGAGGGACCGACAGAATAGCAAAAATGCGTGATGTCTTTTTATAAATTTGAACCCGTCCAGCCGCGCCTACTGAAAGTTTCCGCAAATTACGATTATGTATCGTCGAGTCTCGTCGTCGCTTGTGTGCATCCTTATCGAATACGACGAGCTAGCTTTATTACTCGCGATAAATCGACGCTATTCGATCGATAAGACACGCTACACGATCACAAGCAGAATCGAATGTGTCGCTGATACGAACGCGAGGTAACAAAGGTAGGTATATTGACACATTAGACGCGTCGAAGTATCTTCGATGACGTCGCTTGTTCGTCGCCCACCGAATGCTTTCCATGTATTGGATAGCCAAAAAAGAAAAAGAAAAAAAAAAGAAAAAAAAAGAAAAAACAAAGCCTAAAACAGCTGGTCGCGTCGAGTGATCATCCGCGTTTTCTCGATAAGAATTCTCGTAGGCCTGCACGTGTGATATGTGCTTCGTGTTAAAACAGGGAACCCCGTCCGAGGATATCCGCGCGTTAAAACGTCCTCGAATGGCTAAATCCTACGGATATAAGTAACGTTTCACTTACCCGACAGCGGAAAGAACGTTCGTTCATTTGTTTGCGCTCGCGCGCCGTTCGCACCCTTTCCTTAGTTTCAAGCGTTTAGGGAATACATTAGGAGGGAGGATGTGTGCATGTATGCAAGTGTGTGCACGTGAAACCAGAGAAAAAGAGGAAACGAACGTACGAGAGCATGCGTCCGCGT